CATTATCTGTACCACACAGGTAAGTAGCCCAAGATGGAGGGCCTATCTTCTACTTACCCTTCCCCACCCCTCCCCCTGTGACTTGTAGCACTTGGCTTCGGGATTCTACTTCCTTTCATTTTTGAAGCCTTGAGGTTGAAAATGAAAGTAATCCTATTACTCACATTAGCAGTCAGGGCATATTGATCACATCTAATACCAAGTAAAGACCCGGCAAAATAGATTCCCTAAGTAAATGCTTCTTAAGTTTTTCTTGGAGTAAATGCCAGATACTTGATTTTAGTTTATCACCCCCAGCATTGTTAAATAAATTGTATAATATTTCTTAACAGTTAGGATTGAGTAAATATATGGAGCAAATAATATGTAATTATTGAATATTTGTTCATGTCCAGAACTGTGCTGGAAATCATGAGAGATCCAAGGGATATAAGACACTGCCTTGCCTTTGTGGAAAATATAACCATATTGGAAAGATTAAATGGACATGCCTCATTTCAGTTAGGGAACTGTAGAACAAACCAAATTATCTAACCCTTAAATATATAGTAGAATAAACAAGGATGGAAACAACAATATCAGTAATGACTGTATTTGGGAGGAGGTAGAAATTGAATAATTCAGAATCAGAATTTAAGAGCATAATTTTTCTGCAAATCTTAGTGGTATTAATTTAAGTATAGCACTCACCTATTGGGGGCCCTAATAAAGAAATACCTCAGGTTTCATAAATTCGTTAATGAAAGCATGTCACTACAATTTCATATGTATATTGTGGTTTGCAACCTCTAACTTGGCCAAGAATAATTATTCAAATATTTGATTACAACATAGGATGGATGTTAATTCATACAGACACAGGGGAGGGCAGTCTGCTAATGGAAATGCTGGAGATGAGGTGTTAGAGCTAGTGCCCTTTTCAAAATTAAATGCAGAAGATGAGAGAATTTCTCTAATAAATTGCTGTTAACACAATTATTTTCAGTAAATTAGGGATTCTACTTACATTTCATTTTTAAGGAGAGGAATGAGATAAATGTATAGCCATCATTCATCTCTATGCTTAAACATAAGTAATTTTACATATTTACATAGGTGGGTGTGTTTATATGTGTGTGTGTGTATGTATGTATTCCTTAATTATCACACAAGTTTATTGAACTAATTTTATTAAAAACAATTAGAGATCATGAGAATTATTCATGTCTCCCAATGCTATAGTATTTAACTAATTTATTAATATTTGTTTAACTATCAAAATAGTAGATTTTGAAATATGAGCATCTTTGGCAAAAGTGCTGTTAGAAAATGTGTCACAGAAATAGAATTGTTTCAATACTACAACAGGCAGATGTATCAAATATACATAACTATCTGAACACAGATAAGATAATATTGGCTTCATATCACATGAGATAGAAAAAACTTATTTTTAAAAAATTATCAGAAATGAAATGGAAAATGTCAGAGCCAGGTATGTGGAACCTCAAGGGCCTGTGATCCAAATAAATTTTAAAAAGCTATTTAATATTAAAATACTCAGTGAAATTACCTCAGTTCTATAGTGGTTCTTAAATATCTAAAAATGTTAAGTGTTTAAATTTTAGAAAAAAAATTTTCTTCTATACTGTCTGATAATGAGAAGACATGAAAGCACTTCTTTGGGAAGTATTTCCTCTCCTTTAATGTGAAGATTGGATGTGAACTGGCTCACCATGAGTTTGTTCATATATGAGCTTTTAAAAGGGAGAAACACTTGGTTTGCCCAATCAAGGTTAAACTTGATATTTGAAAGGGAAAAAAGAAACAGGAATAAAACAAAAAGACATGAAAACCTTGAGCTAAGAAACACATTTCATGAACACATTGTGAACTTCTATTTAACATGTAATACCTTAATTAAATGAATGAGGATTAATTTTACTAATTATTCTCTTTATAATCTAGAGCATTAGAGGATTAATTATCCCAATAATAATAATTATTATTTTTAGTCTAGAACACTAGAATCACCTGGGAAGCTTTTAAAAACACAAATCTGGGGCACCTAGATGGCTCAGTCAGTTAAGCATTTGATTTGGGCTCAGGTCATGATCTCACAGTTCCTGGGATTGAGCCCAGCATAGGGCTCTGCACTGACAGCATAGAGCCTGCTTGGGATTTTCTCTTTCCTTCTCTCTCTGCTCCTTACCTGCTCTTGCATGCTCTCTCTCTCTCTCTCTCTCAAAATAAATAAATAAATTTTAAAAAATTACAACTCTGTCTTCTAAAATTTATTAATTCATCCAATCTTAATTTAGCATTACTCCATTGTAGTCACATTGATAAGAGACTCAGAGGAACAGAGGTAGCGCCTGCCTTCACAGAACTCAGTCTAGTGTGGAAAAGTTTAAGAAAATGAACCTTTATAATAAAAATTATACTATTTTATTTTATTTTATTTTTACCTTTTTTTTTTTATTTGAGAGAGAGAGAGAGAGGGAGAGCGAGCGAGCACAAATGGGAGTGAGGGGCAGAGGGAAAGACAAAATCTTAAGCACGTTCCATACTCAGTGTGGAGACTGATGTGGGGTTTGATGCCACAACCCGGGGATCATGACCTGAGCCAAAATCAAGAGTCAGGTGCTCAACCAACTGAACCACCTAGGTGCCCCTAAAACGTATACAATTTTGAAACAGGGAGTTTAGGAGTAAAAGATAAATACTGACAGATATACTTTAAGCAGAAAAGCTTCATATAGGTTTTATCCCAAGAAGAGAATCTTACTACCGTAGGACAATGGATTGAATAGAGATGTTTGTGACAGAGAGAGCAGAGGAACCAGTTAGTGGACCATTGCAATAGCTCAGGTAAAAAATGACAAAGGCTAGGAGAAAAATGGTGTGCAGAACACTTTCAGTTTGTTCTGTACATGCCTTATGGCCCTCAAAAATGTTAATGATTATGAATGATAGAAAGTGGTTATTTTTGTCTTTTAAATTCCACTTTGGATTAGCTAATGGGAAATACCAGCCCAAGACTGGAAGTTGGCAACAGAATGAGGTTCGGTGTTTATTTCCCTGCTCTTTCTTTGCCTTGACTTGTGCCTTCTGTCAAAGGACATGGTGTATCTCAGACACCTCTCACTAGGGAGTTACCCTCTCTAGTTTCCAGTAAGTGCTCCTTCCTCTTACCCTTTGAGCCTACATTGTCAACAGCTTCCTGTTGCTCCTACCTGTGGGGTCTTGAAGCATTTCCGGTTGGTTTCCACAAATCTTATCCTATCTTCAAATATGTTTTTGCTCAGCATTTTCTTCATATTATGCCTTTGAAGCAGGTCACTCCTTCATGGAAGGATCCTGAATGATACATGTGGTGATTGTGGAGAAGAGATGTAGACACATTACATACATATGGTGCATAAAGAGGACAGAATTTAGTGATGATTTAGAAATGGAGAGTGAGGAAAAGGGAGAAGTAAAGGATGATTTCCAGGTTACTGGATTGACCAGTAAGTGAGTAGAAGTATTCTTTGTAAGACGAGGTTTCTCATCTGTAGTGGAGAATTTAGGTGCTATGGGAGCAGGTCAAGACTTCTGTGTTGACTCTATTGAGTGGAATTGTCAAGAACACAATTTCAAATTAGTCAAAAGTCAGAAGAGAAGAGTAGGATATCAGTATACATTTTATTGAGGTGAAGGCATCAATATCATTTCAATAGAGTACAAAACTGAGCACACAGCAAGCACCAAATCCTCATGAAGTTTCTAGTCTACTGGGGAAGAGGTCATGAAAGAAATGATAAACTGCTATGTTAAATTAGTGCTACACAATAAAGTACAGGAAGGTATAAGATAATATAATGAGAAGACATTGTATTTTAGAGGTTGAAAGAAATGACAGTTCAAATTATATCCCAATAGAGACGTGCTAAGTAGGTGAAAAAGAGAAGAAATATTCTAGGTGGTTGAAACTGCATTTGTCTTACATTTCTATGGGGGAAAAAAAGGACATTAGTTCATTTGAGACACTAAAACCTGGCCACTGTGGCTGGAGATTAGTCAGCAAAGGTAGAAGTAGTATGAGATTAGGTTGCTGATGTTGACAGAAAACGAGATTATTAGGCTATGCTAAAAATAGGTCTGTTAGGTTCTATTAGGATGATATTTGCTACCTACAGATTTAGCAACTTAACTTTAATGCAAATCTTAAAATGGCCTCAACTGCCATAAAAGCTTCACTATCAGATCTTATCCTGTGCACATCAGATAAAATTGGGATACTCAATATTGCTCAAATTATTTTGCACTTGGGCCAATTGACTCATCTAATTTGTATGAAAGCACTATTCGGTAAGGGCTTTGATGGAAACGAGACAGTATATTTGAGTAATCACATGGAAAACAAAAATATTTAGGTCTAATAGTATATCCTTCTATCTTAAATTGAACTTCATGTATTAGAAATGATTTTTAGTTTTCCCTTCATGGACCCTTTCTCTTTTGACTTATTACATATGAAAAGCAAACCTATAATATAGAAATATTGAGATTAAAGTCCTTGATATTACCAAAAGCTTATACTGGACATTTACACCAGGATTTTAATACTACACTTAGTTGTCCTAGTCTTTGTGCAAAGGCTAGTGTTTTTACTAGGTTAGTGGAAAAATGTTCATATTTAAACTTCAGGTAGCCTGAGGTTACTTACCCTGGTGTCCACAACAAATACACAATGAACAAATTGTAGCTCTAGTCAAGGCTCATACAGTTATTCTTCAAATGAAAAAAGAATATTAAAAATATTTTCAAAAATAGCTAATTCTTATATAGTGTTACTGTATGTCAGACACTATTTTAAAGTCTTCATATGTATTAAAGCATTTTATCCTTGTAAAATCTTAGGAGGAACTGACCTAAGAGGAAGTGACTCTTACTATCAACATTTAGAGATAAGGAAACTCAACCACAGGTAGTTACTTAACTTGTGTAAGGATGTACAGGCAGTACTCTGTCGCTTGAAAATTCAGCACGACAGCCTTGCTTTAGCATGTCACCCTTGTGTCGGGGCCATGCTAATCTTCTCTGTATCTTTCCAATTTTGGTATATGTGCCGCCGAAGCGAGCATGACAGTCTTGCTTTAGAATTCCCCATCTCAGCTCTCACTGGTTGGTATTTTTTTGAACGGAAGAAGATTCATTCAGAGACATGTAAACTATCATGTTATTGAGTAGGTCTCAGGGCAAATTCTTAAAGTGATATTTTCTTGTGTGACAATGTCAAAGAACTGGAAACTTATGCATATTAAAGAAAAAGATGAAACTGGTCAGTATGTCTTAAAACTAGGAGTATGTCACTGCACAGATAAAATGATGTTTTCATCACTCTTTCTTTCCAATTTAAAAACTTAGAGAATAGAACTGAGGAATGAATTTGAAGCAGTTGCTTGGTTGACCTAAATATTTGTTAATGAAGTCCAATGTAAAACTGACTCTTACTAGAATGGGTTTAACTCTCTTTTAAATGAGGGAAGGAATTTGGAAGAAAAAAAGTGTCTGTCCTGTCTATTATCTCTCTCTCTCTCTCTCTTTCTCATCATCTATCTATTATCTATCATCTATCTATCTATATCTCTTCCACATACATTTCTTAAAATACTAGAATTAAATAAAATCTGAGTATAATATAGCATTTACAAATATTTGGCATTTTATTTTTGAAGAATAACATTCCAATAATTCTCTGGAGTTGTTACTCGAGTTTAAAAATGTCTATAAATAGCAGAAGGCACATAAACTTTATTTTGTAAAATTTTCTTCCTGTCAAGATGATTTGTTTTGAGAAGCATCTGAGGGTCTCTAGGCCACTCACCATTTTAATAACTCTGATTGTTCTGTGTATCATCAAGTCACTTGGTCCAATCTGGACAGTTTCATTTTATATAACTATAAATTTTACTGTCTGTCATTATTATAAATTGATATCAATAAGAAAATGTTCATCATTGTTAAGGGATGGGGGAAACCTCAACGCAGTATATATTTCAAGCTTCCAACAATACAATCACACACGTCATGTCTAAGTGTACAATTCTATGTATGATTCAAAGTATAGAATTTCTAAATACTATTCTCACCCTTTATATTTCCCATTTTATTTTTTGCTCTCAATATAAATATAATACCTACTGAGAAAAGTGCCTCGACTGTTGTTAAGGATATTTTTGAGGGTTATTCTCATTTGTAATTTCTTTTCTATGAGATATTTTGGTGTTCAGAATTTAATTCTAGGATGATGTATCAAATATGAGGTTGCTGGCGACATAAATACTAACCCCCTACCCCCAATTCAATTTCAAAGAGCAATTCAGGTGAGAGTAAATAAATAAATAAAAGGTTTGGTTAATGTTGGACATTTGCTTGGTACCGTGTCATTCAAAACTCCTTCCATTTAAAAACAAAATCTGCATTGACATATGAATGATGTATAATGCAGCATAATTACTTACGGGGTCTTTGAAAAGAGAAGCTCCCTTTTTTCCAAGTGATTTAACTTTGAAAAGGAATTACTTCACATGCCCAACAAATACTATTAAAAAGCATTTTATGAGGTTTTTCCCCTGAATATTTCTACACATGGACAGACTATTGTGTGTTCTAAAACCTGTATTTACATGACACACTTTTATGGTCCAATGGGCAAACACTACTTAGTCCTAAAATAACATCACAGTAATGACTACAGTCAAGACAGCAAGAACACGCCACCATTATTATCCATATCAGACTGCACCAGATGGGGTATCTGTGGTAGAGTCCTGACAGTGGCAAACACGGAACAACTCTTTCTGTTATTTTTCTGAACTCTTAGGCACAGCAATATTACATTCAAAATGAGCAGTGCATAAGGTCTTTCATTTCAAAGATATATATTGTACCATATATTCTTCTATTCGTTTGAATCTAGGAGAAAAGTAAATGACATGGAAAATTGAAGATGACTTACATTAAGTGGGATTTAGCCAAATTTCACTGGGTCTAAGACAGGGTTTCCAACCTCGCTGGTATTGATCTTTTTGTGTCGGATCATTCTTGTGTGGGGCTCTCCTGTGTACTGCAGGATGTTTAATGGTATCGTTGACCTCTATTGACTAGAAGCCAGTACCCAAACCCCAGAGAGCTGTGACAACCAACAGCGTCTCTTTGCAAGGAATGAACTCTTGAACACACACATACTCTTTGAACTGATTAAATTATGTGGCTTGGCTTTGTTAATATCAGAGTTTAATCAGTCTCCAGATAGAAGATGTACATTTTTTTCTTCAAAATATACTTCTTTTATGTTTATTCATTTGTTTCATGTTACCTTCGGTCATTGCTAGAGCATGTAGGCATTTTGCATCTGCAATATTATTTCACACATTTTATATTGACAGCAAGAAAATAAAATGAGAAATATTGAGTCAAATAATACAGGGGGACATTAAAAGTTTTTTAAAATGTTTTTTACTTGCTTTTGAGAGACAGAGAGAGGGAGAGACATGCAAGCTGGGGAGGGGCAAAGAGAGAAGGAGACACAGAATCTGAAGTAGGCTCCAGGCTCTCTGGGCTGTTAGCACAGAGCCTGACTCGGAGCTCAAACTCATGAACTGCGAGATCAAGATCTGAGCTGAAGTTGGATGCTCAACCGACTGAGCCACCCAGGTGCCCCTACGAGGAGACATGTTTAAGAGTATTTATTGAGTAGGAGAATTGGCTCCTACAAGTTCCCCTTCAGTCACAGACTCCTGGAGGCCTCCAGCACTAGGCTCATTCCTGCCTAGTGTTAAGGAAAATATTTAAGTTGAAGAATACTTCAGGAGAAAAGCTGCTCCCTTCTAAAATCAGTGAGTTTCAGTTTCGTGTCTCATCTCCTTACACTTTTGGAATAAAGACACTGCTTCCAAGAGATCAGGTAGTTGAAAGGAAGAATAAGACAAGATCATTTCCCACATTACTGTTGTAAACATGACTTGAATTGTAAAAATAAACAGAAAAGAAGTCAGGGTCTTTGCTTCTGCTTCACTTTGAATGTCCACCAGTGGGTCTAACTGTTTTGCTAGAACTGTCAATTCTGTCCTTAGGTTTAGTCAGGGATTCATTGTTTTAGTCAATCAAAAATTATTCTTTGCAGAGAGTAACTATATATATATATATGATCAATTTTCAAATTGCTAGAATATAATCAGAGGGTACTTATTACTATGTTTTTCTTATATTAGTTTTATCTTTGATAATTTAAAAAGGCTTTCAGGATATTTTGTTTGCTTTAAGGTTATCACTATAAAGCTAAGTTATTATTTTGTAGCTATGAAGAAGAGCCTTCTGATATGGATCTCTGGATGATATAGTGCCATAAAAAGTAGCCTTAAACATTCAGCATTGGCACTGAAATATTGCTAAGCACTAAACAAATACAATGGAAAAATAATAGTCTATATTATACATACCACTGTATTATTTTTAATGCACAGTATCTAATGTTATAAATATTCAGTAAATAGTGAAAAAGGTAAAACTTTTACTTATCTATAAGCTCCTAGTAAGTAACCACTATGTGTGGCATAGGTGGCTCAGTACTATATAGCATTTAGTAAATAAAGAAAATTAATATGACTGCATTTCAGAAAATACTTGTTGAACATTTTAGTTTTAATATTGAACCAATTTTCAAAATATATGTCATTTCTCCCTATTCAAAATTATTCCATGTGCCAAGTACTAAGCTGTCATTTTATAGTTCTCTGGACTTCAGTCATCCAAAATAATATGACCTATTTACTTAGGATTATCAACTCTTCTTGGAAACTATAGTGTAAAAAATATCAACCAAAGCCCTGATAGTTTAGGAGAGAGAATAAATCTCTTTGGATGAACAAGCACCTTAATTCCCTAAATAAATATATATTCTACATTGAATAGGCTTGGCCAATTTCTATATTTACTTTAATATTTAATGTCTTTTTTGTAGTTTTCAAAAATGTTTCTTTTATGCAGAGAGAAAGAAGAAGAATTATCCTGCAGTGAATTTTTATAATTTCATCAGCTGGTTGCAGAGGACGAGTTGCTTGGTGGATAAAGTGTTGGCTTTCTATTCTAAAGGACAACTTCAAATCCTGTTAAGGTTATATTTTTATTAAAATTTCCATTAATTTTTCCATCAATGTGATTGTAGATTAATATTAATTAATTCTTACCATTTTTTGAAGAAATAAATGGAGCCATATCTGATTTAAAGTTAAACAAGATACTATTCAAGCTTTCTTGGTAACCCTTTCCTGGGTTCAGAATTGGTTGGGGAGAAAAAGAATAAGGTATCTTTAATGGCATTTTATTGAACTTAGCAATTTAAATGGCCTACCCTGATTTTCAAAGATATCAAATTACCATATGGATGATGTCTTTCTCATCCAGTCTGGCTCTTAATGTTTACCAAGAAAATGACAAAGGTGATTTTTAACGTTGGATGTAGTACTTATATGTATAAGTTGCTGATAGTAGAGTTCTGGAATAAAGTCTTTCTGTGCTAAAAACTGATATAACAACAAATAGATTCATATTACGGAAACTGAGAACAGAAATCACTGGCATTCTTTCTCTGGAATTTTAATGTAGTATTATAGCACATGGAAAACTTACCCTATGAAGAGTGTAATCTTAATGCTACCCTGGTAGCATTCTCTGGGCTATAAAAGTAGTCCACCAGAGGTATCCTATTCGCACTAAGGCATTTTAAAGTTCCTGAGAAAGATGTGAATGAGGACTTTGATACAGGTGGTATAGCTCTGGGTCATTCAGAACAATCCTTTCCAGGATCATGTGTGACAAAGGATTATTACAAGCTCTGGGGAAGGGAATGTTATTCAAATGGAAAGGCAAATGTACCTTTACTATCTAGGTTGTAACCATTAATTTGAATGTCCCATTTTCTGAAGTACTATGGGAGTTAACAAAGTTCATACTGATCTCATCTCAATCATTTTACAGTGATGGGAAATTTGCATTGTTCTAGGATTTAAAGAGGAACACAGAGTGAAAGGTTTGGAGCCTAGCATTGTGATATTAAAACTTAAAGGGGGAAGTCTAGGGA